TCAAAGTTTTCAGTTGTCACAGAACAAATCTAATTAACAAGAAGAATATACCTGGGAACCCATTTCTTCTTAGCATATGGGCTTACTGTTTTGAACAGCAGCACGGACAACATCTTAGTTTAGGGACATGCACCCAGTCCATCTCTTATTGACATCTATCAAAGTTGCTTCCAGGGTCTTGCCATGACAATTAAATAAAGCACTTAGGGAACTGAGACAGGAGGATCATAAATTAGAGACCAGCCTGGGTTACACAGCGAATTCCAGGGATACTTAGGTTTCCTAATGAGAAACTGCCACAGGACAAAACAACAAAACAAAACCTTGAAATGGAACTGCAGAGTCAGAGAGCCTGCTCACTCGCACACTCGCAAGCTACCGCCGGGCTGCCCTTGAAAGACATAATCATTTTCCCTCCAACCAACAGGGCAAGGACCAGGCCATGCTTCTGCCCACACTCACAAAAGGCTGCTTTCCTGTTTTAAGTACACGGGGAATAAAGACGGGCAGAGCTCTGCTCCTGTTCCATTGTCTCTTCTTGCCCCTATGAATCACCCGTGACACAACGGCTTCCTGGAAATTCCACTCCTAGGTGCATAACCCAGAAGCAGAGCTTAAAATAGCATGAGCACATGAGCCAACGGTGCGCTGGGGCCAGCTCACGCTGCTTCAGGAGACCTGAGCACGTTCACGGCTTCTCAACTCCGAGTTCAGAGACGTCGTGTGGCCTGCCTGAAACTGGTCATTATGGGAATGTTTATACCACAGGAATCGGGTAAAGGGCTAGAGAATGGCTCAGTGGTTAGGAACACTGGCTATTCTTCCAGAGAACCTGGGATCCACGGCCAGCACCAACATAATTGGCTAACAACCATCTCTAACTCCAGTTCCAGAGGATTCGATGCCCTCTTCTGGTCTCCACAGGTGCTGCACACATGTGATGCACAGACGGACAGACATACAGACAGGCAAAACACCATACTCATCAAAAGTAAAATTAAAAAAACAAAAATTAATTTTAAAAAAGTAATCACCAAATTCTACAAACCAGCTTTTTTCTTTCCCTAGACAGACTGCTGTAAACATTTATTGACACATCAGTAATATACCACAGTGGAACCCGAGGCTCTGCCACCCTTCGCTTGTGTCTTACCCTGGATGCTGACCTGCTCACAGATTCTTAGAATCCAAAGACTACAGGAAATCTCAAAGGACATCTAATTCTCGTTTTCTTCCTTGGCTTCTCCCTTAGTCCCACCACGTGATGAGAAGCAGTATTGTCTATGACTCACTACTATTCTTTCATATTTACAATCCCTTACCACATGGTGGTTATTCTTGTTCATTCTGGCTGGGGTCGAATCCCAGCTCTGCCACTCACCCAAGCCAAGTGTGCACCCACGAGCAACAGGATTTGACTGCACTAGTTTTCTCATCTACAAAACAGAGATGACAACAGGACGCGATGCAAAGATCAATGGATTGTGGGGAGCCCAGCTCCAATAGATGTATCTCCAGAACAGCCCCTCCCTGCACCTATGGCTCAGGGAACACTGCCGAAGAGGGAGTGAGGAGGTGCACGAAGCGTGTAAGAGTGAGAATACCAGGAAGACTGTTGTGTGACTTAGAAAGGGCTGCATCAGTAAGACCGGAACAAGACAGTATCAATAGACGTTCTAACATGGAAGGAGGACAATCTCAGAGATCCCACCCTAGATAAAGAACTACAGGAAACCAATGACTACTGAGAGAGAGAGAGAGAGAGAGAGAGAGAGAGAGAGAGAGAGAGAGAGAGA